AGCAATATGGAGTGATGAAAACTGATATGAAGCAATATGGAGTGATGAAAACCGATATGAAGCGATATGGAGTGATGAAAACCAATATGGAACGATATGAAGCGATATGGAGTGATATGGAGTGATGAAAAGCGATATGGAGCAATATGGAGTGATGAAAACTGATATGAAGTGATATGGAGTGATGAAAACTGATATGAAGCGATATGGAGTGATATAGAGTGATGAAAACTGATATGAAATGATATGAAGCGATATGGAGTGATGAAAAATGATATGAAGCGGTATTGAGTGATGAAAACTGATATGAAACGATATGAAGCAATATAGAGTGATGAAAAATGATATTGAGCGATATGGAGTGATGAAAAATGATATGGAGCAATATGGAATGATATGGAGCGATATAGAGTGATGAAAAGCGATATGGAGTAATGAAAAATGATATGAAGTGATATGGAGTGATGAAAAATGTTATAGGAGCGAAAGGGACAATGATAAATGAAAAGGATAATTAAAAACAAAGTGGAAGCAAAGGGAATGGTAGAAAAATAAAAATACTAGCAATAAAAGTAAGTCTTACATTAACTTCTTGAAGTTATTTGAAATTATTGTTTTCTGAAAAACAAGTTAACAAGTTAGCATAAGAGAAAAAGAACATTAAACTAGCGAAGTAATAAGAAAATAAAAAAATCTTACCTTAAGAAGTTCCAGTAAAAGCTGGTCATTTTGAAAATAATACTACAAGAAAGCAAAAAACAAAATATGCGTTACGCATTTGTGTAATATGAAATCACCTGGTGAATTTCACCAGGGTAAATTTAAAATTTTAATAATTTTAATGCATTGCAGATCAAGGTGAAATTCACCAGAGGTGAATGTAAAATTAATCCTTTATTTTTTTTTATAGATGTAAATGTGATCTTATGTATTATGATAAAGAAAAATGTTCCGTGGTGTAGATAATTCGCGGGATTAATGTGGAAAGAAAGATGCACGCAAATTATAAATATGAAAAAAAAAATAAGTATCTCGAAGAAAAAAATACAAGAGTAGAAAAAAAAAAACAGAAGCTGATATTGACAATAATTCATTTGCCTTGCTGTACTGTAACAGATAAATATAGATGAAAGATGGTTAGTGACAAATTTACTGTAAATCAGTAGCTAGAAACAAATATTTATATGAATTCATAGTAGATAATTAAAATTTTTCCTTCTATTCAATACTAGTTTAATTTTTATAATATAGTGAATAATATCAGGTTTCTTTATAAATTTATAATATAATACTACATTCTTTGAAATTTATCAAACATATTATTTTAGCCAAATATATCATATACTCGTGGTTTCATGCATAAGATAGAATTCATTAATTAAATTAGATTATAGACGTAACTGGCTAAAATCACTTGAATATGATCAATTTAATAAATTTAATTTTACCAGGAATAATTTTTATGATAATTAACTTTTGTTCTGGCCAATTATACATAATTTTCTGAGTTTATTTTATTTTACTTAAAAAAAAAAGCTTTTAAAAACAATCAATAAAAAAGCAGTTAATTCAAATATGAATTGGAAATGATTAAATTTGTGTAAATGGCCATTATATAACCCAAATCTAATTAGGTATAATTTATAAATAGTTTTTGAAATGATACTTAATTTCAATTAAAAATGTGGGTATGACGATGAAAATATTATGTTATACCTAATAAAGAAAGAAAGGCGCTGTGATAACTAAAGGCACCTAAAAATTTAATTTTTTTTTTTTACTTTTCATCTTATTTATTAGAAAATGGGACATTTTTATTATTTTTTATTGTTAAAATGAGAGAAAAAATATAGATATTACTTAAAAAATGATCAATATTTTGTTCATGATTTATAAAGGTTATTTGTAAAAGTGATTTTAATTTGTAAAAAGAGTCATATTAATTAAATATTTTTTCATGTTTATTGTTAAAAAAATTCTCATAAAAGTTCTCATTATAGTCGGTAATTTACATAATATTTAATATGTGCAAAATTTGGAATTTTTAAAACCGCAACGGGTCATACTTACAATCCACGACTCTATAAATTATTCTTCAACTTAAAACATTATTTATCATTATGAGAAACCTTTAAATGGTGATTAAAAAATATGTTACATAATAAACGTGTATTCATTTCATAAACTAATTTTTATATACTACAAGAAGTATTAAAATTCGACAATTCTGAAATTATATAAGCTAATAAAGTAAATTATTAAAATTTATTTTCATAGTGCAATCTATAACTATACTATCATAAATCACTATTTGATATCATTTTGAATTTTAAAAAGTGATGCATGAGGTGTTATCGATCATTCATCAATTTTCCGCGTGACTAAAATTTAGTAAAATTATAAAGATACAAATAAACGGTCGGTAAGTAACAAGTGAGCAACATAAATAAGTGTATAATGTAAGGTTCGCATGATTTTATTGCACCATAACGATGATGAATAAATTTCATAAATAAATATAAGCTTAATTTTCATATAAAATTGTACTTTTATCTGCGTCCATAGCGCAGGAAATTATTGCTAACAACAACATGTCGGAAAAAATTTATAAATGAAAATTTATAGATAATGTACTATCAGCGAGATGAATTTAATAAAAAAAAAGTAAAAATTTTATTTGTTAAAATTTATTGAATTTGATACTTAATAAAATTAGTTTGAAATAAAGTTTGGAAGTTGACCTATTTATAAATTAATTCTCGTTTATCATTCACATTACAGTTATAAAAATAAAAATTCTCTTAACCTTAAATCTTATTTTAGATTTCGACATACTTTTTATTCATTTATTATCTTTTACGAGTTTATTTCATAAAATTCTTTATGTTTTTACTTTTTTTAAAAAAAATAACACTGAAAATAACAGCTTACATTAAACTTCTACATATTTATATTACTGATGTGTAAAGATAATTTAATTTAAAATAATGATATGATAGACACAAAATTTATTTAATAATAGAAAATAAATATAATAAAAATTATATAAATACGGTAGGTAAAAATTTTACTATTTATTTATATTTATAGAGAAATATATTCACTGGGGAGAACTTTTTTTTAATTAACCTTTTATCAGTTAAGCGCTATCTTGTAAATATTTAAAAAAAATAAATACTGTAAATAAATGATTTTAAAAGTTTGACAATTTAATAATTGAAGAAAATTATTGATTTTTTTGAAGTCTTTTTAAATTATTTTTTGCTAACTCATATCCTTGTTTGGCAGATTTTTCATACCAATAAATTGCCTTATCTACATCCTTTATAATTCCATTTCCATTTTTATACATTATAGCAAGGTTATTTTGTGCTACCATATTTCCCATATTTCCTAAATTTGCTGATTTTTGATACAATTCAAATGCTTTTTGCTTATCAATTATAGTTCCAATACCATTATTATAACAATATCCCAACATCATTATTGCCTTTGTATATCCTCCTTCAGCTGATTGTTTAAACAATTCAAAAGCTTTATTACAATCCCTTTTAGCTTTAATTCCATCTTCATATAAAATACCAAGATTACACATTGCCTTTAAATTTCCATTATTTGCAGCTATTTCATACCAATAAAGAGCCTTTTTTATATCTTTGTCAACACCTATTCCTCTTTCATAACAATAAGCAATTCCAGTTTGTCCACTTGATAAATTTTTATTAGCTGCTTTTTCATAATATTTAAAAGCTAATTTTTCATTTTTTATAGTTCCATTTCCGTAAAAATAACAAAGACCAACAAAATGTTGTGCTAATATATGATTTTTTTCTGATGCATTAATAAACAAATTAAATGCTTTCTCTTTATTTTCATTTGTTTCAATTCTACGATAATTAAAATATCCAAGTAAAAAAATAGAATTTGAACTATTTTGATTATTTAATAACCAATTATAAAATTCTTGTAAATTTATATTATGATCATTAAAATATCCAATAGCTCGTTGCTTTTCAGATTCTAATGTAAGTCCTTTATTATTTAATTTAAAAATAAAATCATAAATTTCATCAACTATTATGTTAAAATCTTTTTCAATTAAAAGAGTTTCTTGCTTGCTTGATACTAATATAGAATCAATGTCTTTTGTATCCATTTTATCAAAATTTTGAATAAGTTGAGATAAATCTCCTTGTAATTCTGAATTATTAGTACTTAAAGAAGTCTCATTAAGTTCTTGTTCATTTGATATTTGATGATTTTCTATAATTACATCTTCTTTTGTAATCATGGAATTTAGCCAATCAACTACTTGATATATTGTTGGTCGATTATCTGGTTCTCTATCCCAACATTCTAATAACCAAATATAATTAGTAAAAGATTAATAAAAATAATATTAAAATTTTAAAATTTAAAAGAATACTATACTCACTGGTATAAATTTTAATATATTCATTAGGAGTATCAGGAACAATAGTTTCTCTAATACCTTGTGAAATATCCAAAGCTAAACCAACATCATATTGTTCACCTTCAATGTAAAAAGGAGGTTGGCCGCTAGATATTTCCCACAATAATACTCCAACACTGTAAACGTCGCTCTTTTCATTTAGTGAGTACAATTGTGCTGATTGGTTATTATTTCTTCGTCTATTAAAGCTTTTTGGATCGACATAAGGAACCATTCCAAATAATTTTGATTGAGAACTGGACGATGATCCAATTCTTTTTGATAATCTGAAATCTGCTAATTTGATTGTATTATTACGGACAAGTATATTACCGGAATGCTACGAAAGAAATATATATTTTCAATATTCAAATGAATAATGTAGAATAATATTATTAATGATTAAATAATGTTAAATGAATTACCAAATCTCGATGTACTATTCCTTCATTATGTAAGCATGATACGGCACAAGATAACTGGTATGCCATATTATATTTGTCATCCCAAGTAAGTCTGCTAAAGTTTTTCTTCAAATAACATCGAAGATTACCACCGTCGGCGTATTCCATTACTAACCAATAATTATTATGATTATCTAATGAATAAAAAAATTCATTAAAATGCATTTCTTTGAATTTTGCGATTAACAAAAATATTATATTTATTAAGATCATAACTTCTGTCAATAATACCTGACTCAAGTTTTGTTATCCCATAGCAACGAATAATGTTATCATGAAAATCAACTTCTCGTTGAATTTTTAACTAAAATAAAATTTAAAAATAAGTATATTAAATAAATAATCATAAACGAAAAAAAATTATTTTATATTAAATTACTACCTCACGAACGATTTCTTTCACGGTGATGTTATCAAGACTAAAAAAAGATTTTAACGCAAATTTTTTTTCTGAATTTTTCCAATTTGCACGATATACCTTTCCAAAACCTCCGGTACCAATATGTTGAATATTATTAAATTGCTGGTATTCATAATATTTAAAATATTCTTTATCAACAGCTTCCTCAATCCAATTGACCCATTCATTTGTATACTCGGTATCTTGCATTTTGATATTATCGAACGTTATTGAACGTATTGAATAATGATAAGTTTAATAACAGTGAAGTTAGAAAAAAATGAAAAGTAAAGAATTATTAAAGTTTATTGTGTATGCCTATTTTATATATTTTTTTCTCCGATGATAGTCGTACAAGCGTACAGCGTGATCCAAAACCAGTAACCATGGCACCACAATACCGCAGTAACGAAGTAATGATAGGTAATGACGTGATGATTTTTTTTTTTTGAAAAAAGTGTTTTTATTAAAGTATCACAAACCACATAATTATTTTCAGGTTACTATTAGAATATATGCAAATTCTTTTTTCATAGAACCAAATTAAAGAAAAATCATAAAAAAAATTAATTGTCGATCCGTATAATATCGGCACCGAATTACTAATAAAATTCGGGCTGATTTTGTGTTAGAACGGTGGTACTTTAAAAAGGATATTTCATATTAACCATAAATAAAAGTCACATGATATCAGATATGATACTGAAAAAATACTTGGAAAAAAAGAATCTGCAAAAAAAAAATTATATGTTCATATGCAAAATAATGAGTTTACTATAATTAAAATATCAAAAAATTGGAAGATTATAGCATATTTTATTTACTCTAAAATTGTGGAAGCAGCGATTGACAGAAGGAAACATTGCTAGAATATGGAGTGTACGTAATTTCAAGACAGTTTTTAGAGAAATAGAAACGGAAAGAAGGAAAGAAGACATCAACAAAAAAGCAGGGACGGTCATTTCATCCACGGTTCTTTATACATCACAAATTTCTACACCACGAACGCCTCAAAATAGAACATATGTAGGGTTAGACAAAATCGCTACAAGTAGAAATAAAAACAAAGATATAACAGAAGATAAATCGATTGACGAAGATGAAGTAGTGGATCTGATCAAAAAATGGAGAGTAGGAGAAGAAGAAGAATCAGAATTAGATGAAGTTAAAAAAGCGGAAATCGCACTCATGAATTCTTTGATAGAAGATGATGCCACGTACTCGTTGAAACGGGATAACATTGCACCAGACGAAGATGTTGAGGTTATAAATAAATATCAGACGGACGAAAAAATAAAGTACAAACGATTTAAAAACTCAGGCAACAACGATGAGAGTTAATTAATCAGAAGGTTAAGGAATTAGGTGAAATTTTCAAAAGAACTTCAAATGATATGAATGGTAAGCAATTACAACTGAAGCGCAAGAAACAAGTCAAGGAAGCAAAGCAAAAATGATATAACGATATAGGCCAGTGTGATGGCAAATGACCCCGAATGACCTTTGAATGACCTAGTCATTTGAGGTCATTTGTCATTTGAGTCATTTAAACTTACAAATTTATAATGTCACATGACATAGTATTTCATCTAACGAAAATTGAAATTGTGTATTTAATTTTTAAATGACTTAATCATTTTAACCTCGAAATGACCCAAATGACACATGACTAATAAAGGCCATTTGATGTCATTTGGGTTACTTGCCATCACTGTTAAATAAAATATAGGCCGTAGAATTATTAGTTTAGCGAAATTATAAAGTACTATACTATGCTAAAAGAAGATTTCACAAAGCGCCTAAAGGATGAAAAGAAAGCGACGGATGGAAAAGATACGGGAGATAAAAGAATGAAGAATAGTCCTCCGGCGAAGAAGTTTAAGAGTTGGATACTGTAAGTGTCTCCAATCGAAGTCACGTGATTTTACGTAAAATTTTTTTTTCCGTTCCGATAACAAAATTTAAGTGAGACGAGCAAGTTTTAATGTAATTTAGTTTTAGAAGTTTTTGGGTTTAGAATATAAAATATCAATAGATTTAGCTAATCACGGGATGGTAAAGTGGGGATCGAGTTTAGTTTTATCGCAAATTAGTTACGTAACATACCGTTATGACGTTAGGTGTAAAATTGTAACACTGCATCGAGATTGAGTTCATAAAGGATTCGCCGATGATGGTTAAATCTTTTTATTTTTTTGTAGGAACATAATAGGTAATATTTGGTAAGGTAATGTTGTAGATATTGCGTTCGTTCACTTCGTTCGTTTAGTATTTTGTTTTATTTAGATAGGTACTTTATTTAACGGATGTCCTAGAGACGTCTACATTGTAATAGATCTATATATACCTTAGGATATTTTATTACGATATTAATAAAATTTAATTTTTTTTTTTAAAAAAAAAAATGAGTTTACTATACACGCGCGTCAGATTTACACCTTAAAATATAAGAAATTTCAATATTATTTTCCTATATTATGTTATTTACATTACAAAAATATATTTTATGGCTTTCTAAGCTTTTTTAAAACTTTTTTAAATTTTTTTCTTTATAGAACTAGTAAAAAGTTAAAGCTTTTTTTTTTATTATTGTTATCCCGAATTTTATTAGTAACACAGTGCAATTAAATTTTTTTAAAAGTTTTAACGTTATTTGAATAAAATTGGATAAATGATGCCTTTTATATTACATATTGGGGTCCTGTTAAAATATGTTGTTGTAAGATAAAAGTAAGAATATTCTAATTTATCAAATAAAGTTATCAATATAAAGTTTACATTAGTCTATATTGTCAAGACTCTAGAATATTTAAAAATATAATTATGTTATTTAATATAAATGTAATAAATGTTATTTTTTAATGTAAAATTTTTTTTGGTTAATATATTATCAAATGATTTTGCAACAATTATTTTTTATTTTTTTGATTTTTGAGCAAGACTTCTACATAACCACGCCAGAAGGTATTTTTTAATTGTATGAAGATATAATTCGATTTGAAGATGGAGAATTGGAGATGAAGCAAAAATAATGTTGTATCAATTGTATAAGTCATATCTCTCTAAAATTCAGTAAGAATTTCGAATTTTAAAGTATAGCTTTGCCCCGTAAAATATATTATTTTTTGAATTTTTAGGTGTATTGTAATCTGCGGTTTACATAATCCCAGATTTAAATTATTAATACCAACTCCATTTTCATAGTTTGGCTATTGCCAGATGGAAAGTAATGATTATTTTAGTTTGGTGGCTGCACATCCTCTTCGCTCCCCACACTTTCGTCTTACAACGTTAGCTGTTACTTAGGATAGGACCGTTGCCGTTCATTGCAATCAAAGCTATGAAATAAATTTTTAATTCTGCCTAATTAATAAAATTTAAAAATTGATTGAATTGGTAAATAACTAAAGTACAAATACGAATTCTCAACGAATTAAAAAGATGTTTGAGAGTTTTCTTTTAAAAATTTTCACCATCTGGTTATAAATTTATTTCCGAATTTTCAGGATTATCCAAACACGCTTTAATTTATTGACAATCAAGAATCATTCCGTTTTAGGCAAGAAATCATAGATCTTTATTATTAATTCTTTTATTAATGACAAAAGAAGAATTTTTGATTTCTTGTAAAAACATTTAGTTGCAGTTCTTCCAATAATATTTCAGTGGTAGTTTATTTTCTTAACTAGTATACGTATTTTTCCAAAAAAATATTTGAAAATTTTCTGAGTAATATACCGAATGTGGTATCTTAATTTCCTTTTTTTTTTTAGATAAAAATTGAAAATGATAATAGTGAACGTTTATTATAGTTACAGATCTTATCCATATTATAGTAATACTAACATTGTGCAATTGGACCACATTTCTTTATTTGATATTAAGGATAATGTGTAATTATTTTAGTTTGTACACTGCCAAATTTGATTTATCTTTTTTAAAAAATTTAAAAAAATCACCTATATAAATTCTAAGTTAGAAAAAAAATACATCAGCAAACGAATAACTATTTAGAAAGATCATTATAAAAATTTTATCACTTGGAAATGTCATTTGTAGATATTCTTATTCGAATTACTAGTTATGAAACTCCAATATTATGATGAAATTAAATTTTGAACGATTAAATACTAAATGTAAATTAAAATAAAAGTAACAGTAACAGTTCGAAACATATACTCAAACAGAATTCAGAATCATTAAATTTTTCTATCTGTTTGTAATAAAATAGGTGTAATTAACGTTAATACATTTTATTATTTATCAGTATTTTATTTGATAGGAAAAAGTAAAAGATGAATCTCTTTGACAAAGAAACAATTATGTCAAAGTATCAACTGACTAGCTTTTTTTAATTTTATCATTGTCTTTTCTTCTACAACTATCATTGAATTTTTACTTAAAAAGACGCAGCATATATTAAACTACCCATATTTAAATTACTCATTTATAAAGACATTTTAATTTAAAATACAAAATATATTTAGTTTAAAGAATAAATAATTATACAAAATAGAACAATTTATTTACTTATATTTTTAGAGGTGTATTACTGTAGATAAATGAATGGAAGTTTTAAAATTTGAACAATTTGATTAATTAAAGAAAAAATTATTATAAATTATTGATTATCAAGAAGATCATTTAAATTATTTTTTGCTAACTCATTTCCTTGTTTGGCAGATTTTTCATACCAATAAATTGCTTTATCTATATCTTTTGTAATTCCATCTCCATATTCATACATTATAGCAAGATTGGTTTGTGCCACATCATGTCCTAAATTTGCAGCATTTTGATATAATTTAAATGCCTTTTGTTTATCAATACTAGTTCCAATTCCTACATCATAACAATGCCCTAACATCATTATGCCCCCTAAATATCCTCCTTCGGCTGATTTTTTAAACGATTCAAAAGCTTTATTGTAATCTTTTTCAACACCTTTTCCATCCCTGTAACAAGTGCCAAGATTACGTATAGCTGTTATATTTCCATTATTTGCAGCTTTTTCATACCAATAAAAAGCCTTTTTTAAATTTTTTCTAATACCTAATCCGTATTCATAACAATAACCAATTCCTAATTGCCCACTTGATAAATTTTTATCAGCTACTTTTTCATAATATTCAAAAGCTAATTTTTCATTTTTTATAGTTCCAAATCCATAAAAATAACAATAACTGACAAAAAGTTGTGCTAATATATGATTTTTTTCTGATGCATTAATAAAAAAATCAAATGTTTTCTTATTATTTTCGCTTATTACAATTCCACGATAATTAAAATATCCAAGAATAAAAATAGAATTTGAATTATTTTGATTAGTACTTAATAACCAATCATAAATTTCTTGTGAATTTATGTTATGATCATTAAAATATTCAATAACTTGTTGCTTTTCTGATTTCTGTTCAATTCCTTTATTTTTTAATAAAAAAATAAAATCATTTATTTCATCAACTACTATATTAAAATCCTTTTCAGTTGAAAGAGTTTCTTGTTTACTTGATAGTACTGTTATAGAATCAATTCCTTTTGTATCCATTTTATCAAAATTTTGAATAAGTTGAGATAAATCTCCTTGCATTTCTGAATTATTAGCGTTAGTACTTAAAGAAGTCTCATTAAGTTCCTGTTCATTTGATATTTGATGATTTTCTATTATTACATCTGTTTTTGTAATTATGGCATTTAGCCAATCAAATACTTGATATATATTTGGTCGATTATCTGGCTCACCATCCCAACATTCTAAAAACAAATATAATTTTAAGATTATTAAATAGTACTTAAATTATAAAAATTTTAAAATATAAAATATTACTCACTGGTATAAATTTTAACATATTCCTCAGGAGTATCAGGAACAATAGTTTCTCTAAGTCCTTGTAAAATTTCTAAAGCCAAACCAATATCATAATGTTCACCTTCAACATAAAAAGGAGGTTGCCCACTCGATATTTCCCATAATAATACGCCTATACTATAAATATCACTTTTTTCATTTAGTGAGTACATTTGCATTGATTGGTTATTATCATTTCTTCGTCTATTAAAGCTTTTCGGATCGACATAAGGAACTATTCCAAATAGTTTAGATTGGAAATTGGATGATTCTCCAATTCTTTTTGACAGTCCGAAATCTGCTAATTTGATTGTTTTACTATGAACTAGTATATTACAGTGGTGCTATTAAGAAAATATATACATTCTTATGAGTAATATGAATAATACAAATACATTATTATTAATGATCAAATAATGTTAAATAAATTACCAAATCACGATGCACTATTCCTTCGTTATGCAAGCATGATACGGCGCAAGATAATTGGTATGCCATATTATATTTGTCATTCCAAGTAAGCTTGTTAAAGTTTTTCTTTAAATAGCTTCGAAGAGTACCACCATCGGCGTATTCCATTACCAACCAATAATTATTATAATTTTCTAATTATTTAAATAACAAAATTAATCATTAAAAGAATTTTGCGATTAACAAGAAAGAATATTATATTTATTAAGGTAACTTTAAAAATACCTGACTCAAGTTCTGTTATTCCATAACAACGAATAATATTATCGTGAAAATCAACATCACGCTGAATTTTTAACTAAATAAAATTCAAAATTTTTAAATAGATATATTGGTAAGTTTTTTAAAAAATGTATCATACATTAAATTACCTCACGAACGATTTCTTTCACAGTGATGTTATCAAGACTAAGAAACGACTTTAACGCAAATTTTTTTTCTGAATTTTTCCAATTTGCACGATATACTTTTCCGAAACCTCCTGTACCAATATGTTGAATATTATTAAATTGGTTGTATTCATAAAATTTAAAGTATTCTTTATCGACAGCTTCCTCAATCCAATTGACCCATTCATTTGTATACTCGGTGTCTTGCATTTTTGATATTATCGAACTTATTGAATAATAATTGATAGACAGGAAAAAAAAAAATTGTTAAAATTTTATTGTGGTTGCCTTTTTATATTTGACCATAGCAGAACAGCAGAACAGTCGCACAGCGTGATTTCGTATCACCAAAACAAGAGTCGATCAGTAACCATGGCACCGCAGTACCGCAATAACGAAGTAGTTATTGGTAATGACGTAATCTAAACAAAAAGTGTTTTCGTAATTATTTTCATTTAAATATATGCAAATTCTTTTTCATAAAGTCCAAATTAAAGAAAAATCATGATAAAAAAAACTATTTTTTTAAAGGTTGACTTATTTGAGTTGAAATTGGATAAATGATACCTACCATAATACACATTGGGTTCTTTAAAATAGGTTGTTGTACTGTAGATAAAAGTAAGAATATTATAATTTATAAAAGGTATCAATATAAAGTTTACATTTATATTGTTTAGACTTTCAAAACAATTATATTTAATATAATAAATGTTGTTAATAGACAAAAAATTCCAAAGATTTTCTTATTTCTTTCCATAAATTAAACAAATTTTCAGGTTCCAATCAAATGAATTTTTTTGGTTAATATATTATCAAATGATTTAATAATGAATATTTTTTGATTTTTGAGCAAAACTTCCAGGGATGTCGATCCTAACCACGCCGGTAAAATTTCAAGTCATTTTACAGTTACTTGTAATTGTATAAAGATATAATTCGATTGACAATAGTGATGGAGTAAAGTCAATGTTGTATCATAAGTTTCTCTCTAGGATTCAGTAAGAATTTCGAATTTTGAAACTCCTTTTGAATTATTAGAGTGTATAGTAAATATGTGCTGGAAAACAATGATTATTTTAATTTTGCTGGCTACGCAACCTCTTCGCTTCCTATGATACACATTTGTCTCACAGCGTCAGTGGTTATTTACTAGGAAAGGGCCTTCGTTGTTCATTTATAAAATAAATTGGAAATTTGAAATTGTTTGAATTGGTAAACAATTAGTAAAGTGCAAATAACACAGTAAAATTCTAAAAGATGTTCGATAGTTTTCTTTTTAAAAATATTCCCTATCTGGTTATAAATTTATTACTAAATTTACGCGAATATTTTTTGACAATCAGGAACATTTCAAGAAAACATAATTGAATAATTGGTTGTCTTTGTAATAATGGAAGATCTTTATTATTTTTATTAATGACAAGAAAATTTTTGATTTCTTGTAAAAATATTTAGTTATAGTTCTTCCAACAATATTTCAGTAGTAGTTTTATTTTCTAAATCAACCAATAAATTATCTATCCGTGAATCTCTCTGTAATATTGACACAACAATCAACAAAATAATCTATTAATAAGTATACATATTCTTCAAAAAATATTTCAAGATTTTAATATAGCACAATCTTTGAATGTGGCATCTTGCTTTTCCTTTTTTTTTAGGTAAGAAATTGATGAAACATAATACAATTAGAGATGAGGAAGTTCCAAACAGAGCGGTTCCGAACCGGTCCTGGAACCGATTCTAATTTTAGCAGATTCTGATTGAAACACTCTGAGAACTGTTCTCGGAACCAGCTCCGAACCGGTTCGAAGGAACCGCATTGTCATCAAAAATTATGACGATCACGGACCAACCAGTGACCAACCATTGTTTGATGACCAATTAAAATTTTTCTAATCGATCTTCATCACATGCTCTACCTGCGTTTTAAATTTGACGCATGTAGCTCATATTTTACTTAATGAGAACCAAAACGGAACCGACAAAGAACCGAAATAGAACCGACGAATTGATACCCATCCCTAGATCAGATTGCATTATGCAATCGGATCATATTTCTTAATTTTGTTAAATTAAGAATAATATGACTTATTTTTACAACTATTTCAGTTTGTACGATATTCTGTCAAATTTGATCTAGTACTTTTTTTAAACATTGTCTACATAAATGTTAAATTAGAAAAAATCCATCAGCAAACGAATAACCATTTAGAAAGATTATTATAAAACTTTATCACTTGGATATGCAGTAACATTTGTGGATATTCTTATTCGAGAGTTATGAAACTCCAATATTACTAGGAAAGGTAACCGTTGATGCCTCCGAAGCGTCATAAATCACATGCTCATAAAAATTAAAAGTGGATATTATGAAGAAATCACACTGTGAAATCAATTATTTATTTATTTATTTTTTTTATTTTAAAAAAACGAATACAAATTAAAAATTTTTAAGAAATTAAAAATTTATTCGTTATTTTTTAAATGCTGTAAAAAATTTTTAAGTAATTAAATCAGGGACATAAACGAAAAGGGTTACACATAAACAAATCTAAAGTTACACCTGATCCTAATATTTTGTTGGTCATGCACGCGTGCGTACAGACAACCCATACATGGTTTGCAGAGTGTCCTATGAACGATTAAATATTAGATGTAAATTAGAATAAAAGTAACAGTTCGAAAACATATATTCAGACAGAATTCAGAATCATTAAATTTTTCTATCTGTTTGTAATAAAAATAAGTATAATTAACGTTAATAAATTTTATTATTTATCATTAGAAAAAGCAAGAGATGAATTTCTTTGACAAAAAAACACTTTAAGTCAAAATATCGACTGGCTTTATCCTTTCTTCTTACAACTATCATTGAATTTTTACTTAAAAAGATGCAAGCACATATTAAACTACCCATATTTAAATTACTCATTTAGAAAGACATTTTAATTTAAAATGAATGATATAATGATAGATACAGAATTTATTTAATAATAGAAATATACAATAAAGATTACATAAATACAGTAGGTAAAAATTTTACTATTTATTTATATTTATATAGAAATATAGTATTTACTAAGGAAAACTTTTTTTTAATTAACCTTTTATCAGCTAATCACTATTCTTGTAAATACTATTTAAAAAAAATAAATACTATAAACAAAGTCTGAGAATTTAATAATTAAAGAAAATTATTGATTTTTTTGAAGTCCTTCTAAACTATTTTGTGCACCTTGATTTCCTTGTTTAGCAGATTCTTCATACCAATAAATTGCCTTATCTATATCTTTTGGAATTCCATCACCTTTATACATTATTAAAGCAAGATTATTTTGTGCTATATCATTTCCCAAATTTGCAGCATTTTGATATAATTCAAATGCTTTTTGCTTATTAATTTTAGTTCCAATACCATTATTATAACAATATCCTAACATCATTATTCCACTTATAAATCCTCCTTCAGATGATTGTTTAAACAATTCAAAAGCTTTATTACAATTCCTTTTAACATCAATTCCATCTTCATATAAAACACCAAGATTATACATTGCATTTAAATTTCCATTATTTGCAGCTTTTTCATACCAATTAAGAGCCTTTTTTATGTCTTTTTTAATACCTACTATTCCATAATTATAACAATAACCAATATTAAATTGTCCACTTGATAAATTTTTATTAGCTACTTTTTCATAATATTTAAAAGCTAATTTTTCATTTTTTATAATTCCAATTCCAAATCTATAACAAAGACCAACAAAATGTTGTGCTAATATATGCTTTTTTTCTGATGCATTGAAAAATAAATTAAATGCTTTCTCATTATTTTTAATCGTTATAATTCCATAATAATTGAAATATCCAAATAAAAAAATAGAATTTGAATTATTTTGATTATTTATTAATAACCAATCATAAAATTCTTGTGAATTTATATTATGATCATTAAAATATTCAATAATTTGTTGCTTTTCTGATTTCCATTCAAGTCCTTTATTATTTAATTTAAAAATAAAATCATAAATTTCTTCAACTATTATGTTAAAATCTTTTTCAATTGAAATAGTTTCTTGATTGCTTGATACTATTATAGAATCAATGTCTTTTGTATTCATTTTACCAAAATTTTGTATAAATTGAGATAAATCTCCTTGTAATTCTGAACTATTAGTACTTATAGAAGTCTCATTAAGTTCTTGTTCATTTGACATCTGATGATTTTCTATAATTACATCTTTTTTTGTAATCATGGAATTTAGCCAATCAACTACTTGATATATTGTTGGTCGATTATCTGGTTCCCCATCCCAACATTCTAATAACCAAATATAATTAAAGATTAATAAAAATAATATTTACCAAAATTTTTAAAATTTAAAAGAATACTCACTGGTATAAATTTTAATATATTCGTTAGGAGTATCAGGAACAACAGTTTCTCTAATACCTTGTGAAATATCCAAAGCTAAACCAACATCATATTCTTCACCTTCAACGTAAAAAGGAGGTTGGCCGCTAGATATTTCCCACAACAATACTCCAATACTGTAAACATCACTCTTTTCACTTAGTGAGTACAATCGTGTTGATTGGTTAATATCTCTGTTATTATTTCTTCGTCTATTGAAGCATTTTGGATCGACATAAGGAACCATTCCAAATAATTTTGATTGAGAACTGGACGATGATCCAATTCTTTTTGATAATCCGAAATCTGCTAATTTGATTGTATTATTACGGACAAGTATATTACCGGAATGCTACGAAAGAAATATACATTTTCAAATGAATAATGCAGAATAATAATATTATTAACGATTAAATAATGTTAAAATGAATTACCAAATCACGATGAACTATTCCTTCATTATGTAAGCATGATACGGCACAAGATAACTGGTATGCCATATTATATTTGTCATCCCAAGTAAGTCTGCTAAAGTTTTTCTTTAAATAACTTCGAAGACTACCACCGTCGGCGTATTCCATTACTAACCAATAATTATTATGATTATCTAATAAATAAAAAAAAATCATTAAAATGTATTTCTTTGAATTTTGTGATTAACAAGAATATTATATTTATTAAGATAACTTCTGTCAATAATACCTGATTCAGGTTTTGTTAGCCCATAGCAACGAATAATGTTATCATGAAAATCAACTTCTCGTTGAATTTTCAACTAAAATAAAATTCAAAATTTAAAAATATAAGTATATTAAATGAAATCATAAACGAAAAAAAAAATGTATTTTATATCGAATTACCTCACGAACAACCTCTTTAATAGTGATGTTATCAAGACTAAAAAAAGATTTTAACGCAAATTGTTTTTCTGAGTTTTTCCAATTTGCACGATATACTTTCCCAAAACCTCCGGTACCAATATGTTGAATATTATTAAATTGTTTGTATTCATAAAATTTAAAATATTCTTTATCGACAGCTTCCTCGATCCAATTGACCCATTCATTTGTATGCTCTGTATCTTGCATTTTTGATATTATCGAACGTATTGAATAATAGTAAATTAACAGTAGAATTAAAAAAAAATAAAAGTAAAACTTATTGGTTCTTCTTTTGTTTCAAATATTAATTTAGTATTACCAAACAAAAAAAGCCAACCAGTGGCCGTTGGTACCGCAGTACGGCAAATATTTTCTTACACAGTATGCATATCCTTAAATTTGTGACAGGTTATGCCGATTAGAAATACTTTTTTGGGAGCGATCGACAAATGTGCCACAGACAGTAATCTTTTCTTTTCAAAAAAAAAAAAAAACTTAATAAGAGGTATAAGAGGTGTAATTTTGCCTGCTCCGCAATTTTACTTAGAACGACAAACAAGGTTTTGGCTGAAAATTTAGACTTAAGCGCGATTTTTTTAAAAAAATGCGCCACATACTTTAAACAATATATTCGGCGTAACCTGTCACACATTTAGGACGTGCACACGGTATAACAAGTTCGTACTAGGATTAGCTTTTTTGAATTTGTTTGGCCAATGAAAGTAAGGTTGCACAATTTAGAATTTATTTATTGACGTTTACTTAAATAAAATTGAATAAATAATCATTCCACCAACATATTGGATTTTTTTTAAATAATGTTTTATTATGATGAAAGTAAGAATAATCTAATTTATCAAAAGTATTATTACAAAGTTTACAATTATATTTAAATAATTTAAGTGTAATAAATGCTATTTTTCGAAAACATTCCTAAGGTCGTTTTCTCATCTCGTTCTTTTCATAAATTAATTATTATTTATATTAATTAAAAAGGGGAGTACAATTTTTTTTGTTAAAATGCCATCAAATGATTTTGTGGCATAGATAATTTTTTAATTTTTGAATTAGATTTCAAAGCTGTCGATCATAGATAGCCACACCGATAAAATTTCAATATTTGAACAATATTTTAACTATGAAAGTATACTTACTACTAGAAACTAAGATAATTTTCATCAAGCAACTGTTGCATTAACCGAAATACATGTATTGTCTTGCCAGATGCTCGTGGACCTATAAGCAACAAAATTCGCCAGCCTTTTTGATATCCAAGAAGGAATTTCCTGTGATCTATATTTTCTGTTGGATTTACGAAGTAAACTGAAGATACTTGATCTGGCATAATATATCCGCTAACTATCCATCTCTTTTTGGTTAGGACTGGAACTGATTATTAAAGTTTAGTATTTAAATTGTTGGAGAAAACAAATTTTTTTACAAATTCTTACGTTCTTCCAGAGCCTTCCTTTTTCTTTTAAGGTTTTTAATAAAATTTCACTTTTTTCAACAGAAGTGGTCGGCAAATTTTCTTTTTCATTTTTTTCAGATTTCTAGTAGTATGCAAAGAATAAGATGTGTGAGTAAGATAATAGTAGCAGATTCTCCTTCAAAATCAGCAGAACTTAATCACATGATAGTAGGATATGCACGTATAGAGGCTCTATGTCTGGACGCTCTTTTTCCCTATGTACGAGAACACAGGGCGTAGCATACTCGCTACCCGCATAGTAAGACACGTACAGAGACTCTATGTCCGAACGCTCTTCTTCCCTGTGTGCGAGAACACGGCGTAGCACACTTACTACTCTATTTTAAGAATGTGCCAACCTTCAAATGACGCTTTAGTATTGCCACTTTCTTCTCTCCTTCGTCTCGGGTTCTAAATTACTAATCAACATATCCAATTCCTTGCCTAAATCGCGATGTTGATGGCCATTTTGACTCGTCAGGATATTGTTCATAATAAAAAACATCCCACGTATTTATTCTCCATTGTGTATAAGGTTTTCTCCAGTATTCTGAATGTCGAAATTTTTGATAATACCTCCTCTAGCAACATGATGACAAAAATGAAATAATATGTTGTATCAAGTAACAACCCAAACTTATCTTAAATAAATTCCGTGGTTTATTAATAAAATTCTTTAAGAATAAATACAAAATAAAATGAAAAATATTTTACGTCCGAAAGTTGAAAAGCTCAAAGAGATATTATAGGAAAAATAATAAAAAAAATAATAGAGATTTTATAATAATATTATTATTATTTAAATTAATATAAATAAAAGCATAAACCGATAGACTCAAAAATTAGATATCGACGTAAACTTCTAAACATGATTCAATAAGCTATAACCGCGCCTCACTATGTTCAAAAGTCTGATAATACTGATGTATCAGATGTACACAACAGACACCTGACCTTATTCCAAATTTACAAAGCCTATTAAATGAAAAAGTACTCTAATCTAACATTAGCTTTATATTATCTAATATCATTTAGTTAATACGATCACTTAGACATGTCATTTTATTGAATACTCTTATTCAAATTATTTGTTACAATGAAATTAATTTCTGCAAAAGAGAAAATTTTCTTGAACTATTAAATGCTAAAATGTAATTAGAATTATAAATTTATAAATTGATTCAACATCTGTTTGTAATGAAAATAGGTATGATGTTAATAACTTTTTTATTCATTAATCTTTTTTTTTTTTTTTGTGGGAAAAAAGTAAAAGAGATGAAATCTTTGATCATTATCAACTAGCTAACTCTTTTTATTTTAGCTTTAGATCTATGATTTACTTTTTCAATGTCTTTCCTTTTACAACTACAGTTGAAATTTTCCCTATAGAATTTTTTTCAAAAAAAAATAGAAGCTCGTTGATATAGAAAACAGCTTATGGTTATTGTACGGTGTTGTATTTATATTGGTTAACATCACAAAATAACGTTAACCAATATATACAGGTAAAATTTTAATAAGAAACTTATTGTTTATTGATATTTTAGAACAAATATGTTTATCTTGTAAATTTATTAATAAAATAATGTTAGTAATTGATTTTACAATTTATTAATTAAAGAAATTTATTATAAATTATTGATTTTTTTTAAATCATCTTTTGCTAATGTCTATATGACAACATGTTCTTCTCACCTTCAATACACGCGTTGAAGTTAAACTATCCACCAAAATAAGTAAAAAAAATCACTTTTTTTATAAAAAATTATCAAAAAGAAGAGTTATTCTGCTAGTTAACTTTACGTTTATTAGATAATCCATTAAATTGTTCGCCGACCTTTTTTTAATAATGTTTTATTTAATAAAAAATGCGCTTTTAACATATAACAATTTTATTTCATTTCTTTTTAATTAAAAAAATATAAAATTTTGACTCTATATTAAAAAAGCTGACAATTAGTTTTCTATATTATCGCCGTTTTCAAAGTGATATACGCAAGGGACTATCATAAAAAAAATTAATGATTATTTTCTGATTTTCTGATTTCTGCGAAACCCAAGATTTCCCAAATAGAAAAAATTTAAAATAGAGGTATTTCAAGTTGAAAACCTAAGAATTCAATTATTGAAAAAACTGCCTCATAAAAAAACTAATTCTATAATAAAATTTAAGAATTAGCAATATAAATAAACTTAAGTTGGAGTTTTTTTGGGGTTTGACTTAGAATACCTCATTTTACATCTTTTTCTATATAAAGACACTGGGAAATCTCGAGTTTTCGCAAAATTTATAAAATATTTTTTTTTTGGTGAAATTTTTTTACGTACATCATTTGAAAACGGCGATAAAAAAAATTGAAACCCGTAGTAAATCAAAGGATAAAGTTTTAGCGGAAATTTTAGATTTGCTGCGTAAATTAGTTTAAATATTAATTTAGGTTTTAGAATTTATTTTACTTTTAATTTTCTTATTTTTTCTAGCTTGTTAGGTGGTAATTCATTTTGTAGGTGGGAGTTAATAATGAAAAAATGCTTTTCATTTTTCTAGCAAACAGAAAATTCTCTTTTATTTTAGGACTCACGTCAAATAATCAGTACATGAGCTGAATCAGTTGATGATTGATCGATAATAAAAAGCTGCGTCCTCATTCACGTTCATGGAAGGAGTAAAATAAATTTCATATTATTTTATTTTATTTTTTTTATTATAAGCTAGTACTAAAAATGCAAACGAACATATTTATTGATCAAAGAAACTTTTTTATTATTAATTATTATTATTCGTTAATAAAATTTATATTTTTTAGTTCATTTTGTATCACAAGAGGCTATACTATGTTAGTAGTCATGCATGACTTATTTTATACAGTTCACCCTTACAATAACAAATTTTTATAGTGAATAGCTTGTTATAGTGGAGAAAGTTTCTGACAATAATTTTTTTAATATAACGAATTATAAAGTAAAATCTTTGTACTTCGTAATTTGAATTTAAATGTTAAAACAAATATAATATAATGACCCTCAGTTATGTGCGAAAGTTCTATAAAATTATACAATGTCAAAACTTCATATTTCTATGAATTGGCCTTTATGATCATAAAGAAGAAATGTTAAATTTTTTGCCATATCAACTTGCCATACTAATTTTACGTAAATCACGTAATTATAAAAATTTTGCGATTTTTTGTCAAAAAAATGTTTTACCTTAATTCACTATATACTACAGTGAATTCCCTCACTATAACGAATTTTAATCTCCAGCCCACAGAATTCACTATAGTAAGAGTGAACTGTATAATAATAATTATTTTAATTATTAATTAAAAAAAACATACATTTTAAACGAATTCTAATTTGTTAAAACGGATAATGCAGATATCCCGATTATCCGGATTGAATAGATAATTCAAATTCGAATACCCGGATTAACGCCAGCATTTTTTTGCATTTTTACTAGTAAAAACGCACTAACGGATCCAGACTCTATCACTAATAATAAATAATCATATTCTTCAATTTGTTTGTAAAAGATATTCCAAGATTTCTTTTAAGTAATACCATACATTTTTTTGAAAGTGACCTCTTTTTTTTTATTTAAAGGTAAAAAAGAATTGAAAACAGGTAAATTCAAATGTTTATTTGTTGATACAGACCTTATTCATATTATGTGATATAGCTTATATTATAGGATTATATATTTTCTTTTTTTTTTATTTTGAGTCTTCCGCCGCAATAATCTTAAGAATATTATGACTTCTTTATAATTGTTTTGGATTTATTCTACTTTCGCTAAAATTTAATCTAAAAATCGCCTATATAAATGGTAAATTAAAAAAATCACTAGTAATGAATAATTATTTAAAAAATTATTATGAAAATAATTAGCTAACATGTGTCATTTTTATGGATATTCTTATTCAAATTGGATATGGAACATATGGAACTCTAATATTATTGAAGAATTAGATTATATAAAAGAAGAAAAACTTTTGAACTATTAATTCTAAAGTGTAAATTAGAAATGAAATGTTACAATATTATTCAATCTAAATTCAGTACCACTAACTTTTCGTAATTGTTTAGTAATAAGAATAGTTGTAATAACTAATAATTAATTAATTCTTTTTTTTTTTTGATGGGAAAAGTTAGAAAAAGCTAAAATAATTTTATCAAAATCATTTTGTATAAAATGTCAAAAACTGATTTTGCAAGTAGCAACTTTCTTTTATTTTAATTTTAGATTTATGTTTCACTTTTTTAATTTTATATACTTAATTTAGTTTAGTAATGATTAAAAAATTTTAAAGGTAATATTTCTATAATTGATTTTTTTCCTATATTTAATTTCTATAAATAGAAAAGAATGCAGTCATTAAATTATTACATTTTTAAATTTTCGATGTTAAACATAATTATCCGAAGCGTAGCGAAGTACACTCAATGTCTATCTGTCACGCCACGTATATGGTAAATGAAATTGTAGGATCAGGTTTAACAACAACAATAATAAATTATGGCCAATGAAGTTTTAGAATCAGGTGTTAGCATGTAATATTATTAATAATCATGTGATTATAACGCTTTTACCTACTTAATTTTAAATTGAAATGTCATTTAAGTTTAAAAGAAAATATATAAAAAATAATTATATAAAATAGATAAAATTTTAAATGATTTATAATTTAATAATTAAAGAAAAATTACTATAAATTATTGATTTTTTTCTGAAGGTTATTTAAATTATTCATTGCTAACCCATTTCCTTGATTAGCAGATTTTTCATACCAATATATCGCTTTATCTATATCTTTTGAAATTCCATCTCCTGTTTCATACATTAAAGCAAGATTATTTTGTGCTATATCATGTCCTAAATTTGCAGCATTTTGATATAATTTAAATGCTTTTTGCTTATCAGTTTTAGTTCCAATACCATTATTATAACAATATCCTAACATCATTATTCCACTTGAATATCCTCCTTCAGCTGATTGTTTATACAATTCAAATGATTTATTATAATCTTTTTCAATACCAATTCCATTTCTATAACAATTACCAAGATTATATATTGCCATTAAGTTTCCATTATTTGCTGCCTTTTCATACCAATAAACAGCCTTTTTAAAATCTTTTTTAACACTAACTATTCCTTTTTCATAAAAATATCCAATACTTACTTGTCCAGATGAAAAATTTTTATTTGCTGATTTTTCATAATATTTAAAAGCTAATTTTTCATTTTTCATGATTCCATTTCCATATCTATAACAATGACCAACAAAATATTGTGCTAATATATGATTTTCTTCTGATGCATTAATAAATAAATTAAATGCTTTCTCAATATTTTCATTGACTGCAATTCCATAATAACTAAAATATCCAAAAATAAAAATATAATTTGAATTATTATGATTATCTATTAACCAATTATAAATTTCTTTTGAATTTAAATTATAATTATTAAAATATTCAATAACTTTTTGTTTTACTGAATTTATTTTAAGTCCTTTATTCATTAATTTAAAAATAAATTCATATATAATGTTAAAATCTTCAATTGGAAAATTTTCTTGTTTATTTAATCTTATCATAGGATCAATTTCTTTTATATTTATTTTATTAAAATTTTTAATAAGTTGAGATAAATCTCCTTGTAATTCTGAATTATTAGTACTTAAAGAAGTACTATCATTAAATTCTTGTTCATTTGTATACTCCTCGGTATCTTGCATTTTGATATTATTGAGTGTTATCAAAACGTATTGAATAATGATGTTAACAGTAAAGTTAAGGAAAGAAATGAAAAGTAAAAATTATTAAAGTTTTATTGTATATGCCTATTTTATATATTTTTTTTTTCTCCGATGATAGTCGTACAAGCGTACAGCGGTGATTTAGTATGACCTGTAAGTCCTGTAACCTGTTAAGTCAATCAACTTTGGTACCGCAGTAATTTTCATTTTCATAATGACGTCATCATTAAAATTGAATGTTGTAGTTGTCGTAGGTAAAAAGAATTTATTAAAAGTATTATAAGCCACATAATTATTTACTACAGAGTACTATTAAGAGATATATACTAACTTCTTTCTTGGTAAAAATCAAAATTTTTTATTCGTCTATAATGTTGGCGTTATTTGAATAAAATTGAATAAATGGTTCTTATATCAACAGTTTTACTGGTATATAATTTGATTTAATATAAATGTTATTTTTGAAAAAAATTCTTGAAGGTTTCATTTCTTATTTCCATAAATTAAAAAATTTTCTAGTTCTAAATTAAATAAAAATTAATTAAAGGGGGCGAATCCGGGGGATGACGATTTTATGACCAACAAATACAGAATTATTTTGGCTAAAATATCATGTGGCATGAATAATAAATTTTTTTGTGTTATGAAGTATGAACAAGATTTTATTCAAAATTTTTAAAGATATCGATCCTAACCACACCGGTAAAATTTCAATGTTATTAATGTTATTTTAATTGTGAAGATATAATTCGATTGACGATGATTATGGAAATTATGGAGATGTATTTCATAATAACAATGTTGTACCAATTGTATATTTTGTATTATTTGTTGCCACTTCAATTGTTACATTGAACGAATAGTTAGAGTATCTTTGTGATTTCTATTAATTTAGCAATGAATATTAAATCTTTTTCTCTAAAATAAATAAAGGAAAATACCAAGTTTTGGCAAATAAATTCCTCTTAAATTATTATCATTAGCATTATCATCATCGTATAATCAAAACTATGAATGCAAACTTTCAATTCTGCTAAATTAATAAAGTTTGAAATTGCTTGAATTGGGAAATAAATTAAATAGTTGCGATTACAAAGTTCAAGAATTCCTTTAATTACTTTTTAAAAAGATTCACCCTCTGTCTGATGTATATAATGTTATTTCTCTCGAATTTTTTTTTTTTTTTTGAGAGAATTAATATACTTATATTATCATTATAATTTGAACTTTTTTCAGACATAATTTCTTCTGAGTCATGAGTTTGAGAGATCATTTCTAAATTATTATAAATTTTTAGATTTAATATTATCACAATCAAAAATTGATACGTATTAATTTATGAATTATTTCTTCAGGACAGGAATCTTTAAAATTGAAAGTATGATAAAGATTTTGATGCAGAACATTCAAAAATATTCAAATTTTGGCATATTAAAATATTTAATAATTTTTAATCATTGATAATTATTTTATAATCAACAGGTGCTAATATCAAATACACTTTTGAGTCTTTGACTAATTTATTATTACTCTTGAAGAAATTATTTGAATATATAAACTAACCTTAAAAGTGGGTGTTTTTGTAATAATAAAAGATCTTTTTCTATTGTTTTTCAATAATAAATAATGAGGAGAATTTTGATTTCTTATTAAAACATTATTAGTTGTATTTCTTTCAAGAATTTCGGTAATCTTTTCTCCACAGGTAAATAAAGATTCTTCAATTTATTTCAGAAAAATATTCTAAGATTTCTTTAATAATAATACAATATATACTTTGGAAATTACCTATTGTTTTCTTTTTTATTTGAAGGTTAAAAAATTGAAACAAAGAAAAGTGACTTATTCATATTATGCCATTATGAATTATATATATATTTTTTATTTTAATCCCTCTGCCATGATAATCTTTAAGAATAATATAATGTCTATATAATTGTTTTGCTTTGTATTCTATTTATTTTCGCAAAAATTTAATTTATCTTCCTTTAAAAATCACCTGTATAAATGATAAATTAGAAAAAATATATCCATCAGTAAATGGATAATTAATTTAATGAATATTAAAAAATCAATTAACCAATATATGTCATTTTATGGAAATTCTTATTCAAATTAGAAGATATGAAACTTCAGTATTATGAAGAATAAATTCTGTAAAAGAAAAGCTTTTGAATGATTAAAATACTAAAATATAAATAAAATAGAAATGAAATGCTAAACGATTAAAATTCAGTAATAATCGTCGCATTTTTATAATTGTTACTTGTTAGTAATAAGTATAGTTGTAATCAAGGTTAAAAAACTTTTAATTGATCAATTCTTTTTTTGCTGGGGAAAATTAGAAAAGCTAAAATATTGGAAACTGAACTAGTAACTTTCTTTCAGTTTATTTTAACTTTAAGATTTATGTTTTAGTACTTACTTATTATATTTTACAATTGAGTTATTTTCCTATATTTATTTTTTTTTAAAATAGAAAAGAATACAAGCATTAAAATTTTATATTTGATATTTGCAAAACATTTGAAAGATATTATGGTATACACAAATTATGTTATTTAAGCATAAAAGAAAACTATATAAAAATGATTATATAAAATATACAATAAAATTATGACGATTTTATTTATTATTTTATGTTTAAAGCAGTGTATTTACTATCTTGTAAATTTTTAGAAAAAAATAAACACTGTAAATAAAATGATTTAAGTTTTAATTTAATAATTACCATAAATTATTGATTTTTTCTGAAGGTTATTTAAATTATTTTTGGCTAACTCATTCCCTTGTTTGGCAGATTTTTCATACCAATATATTGCTTTATCTATATCTTTTGCAATTCCATTTCCTTTTTCATACATTAAAGCAAGACAATATTGCGCTTTATTATGTCCTAAATTTGCAGCATTTTGATATAATTCCAAAGCTTTATTATAATCTTTATTAACACCAGCCCCAACTACATAACAATTACCAAGATTATATATTGCTATTACATTTCCTTTATCTGCAGCCTTTTCATACAAATAAAAAGCCTTTTTAAAATCTTTTTTAATACCTATTCCCTTTTTATAGCAACAACCAAGATTCAATTGGCCGTATGCTAAATTTTTAATAGCCACTTTTTCATAATATTCAAAAGCTAATTTATCATTTTTCATAGTTCCAATTCCATATAAATAACAATGACCAATATAATGTTGTGCCAATATATGATTTGTTCCTAAATCATTAATAAACAAATTAAATGCTTTTTCTTTATTTCTATTTGTTATGATTCCATAACAATTAAAATATCCAAGAATAAAAATAGAATTTGAACTATTTTGATTATTTAATAACCAATTATAAAATTCTTGTGAATTTATATTATGATTAGAAAAATATTCAATAATTTGTTTTTCTGATTCCCGTTCAATCCCTTTAATATTTAATTCAGTAATAAAGTCATTTATTTTATCAACTATAATGTTAAAATCTTCAATTGTAAAATTTTCTTGTTTACTAAATATTACCATAGGATCAATTTCTTTAATATTAATTTTATCAAAATAATGAATAAGTTGAAATAAATCTCCTTGTAATTCTGAATTATTAGTACTTAAAGAAGTAAAATTAAATTTTTGTTCATTTGTATACTCGATATCTTGCATTTTGAAATTATTGAGCGTTATCAAAACGTATTGAATAATGATAAGTTTAAGGAAAAAGTTAAGGAAAAAGTGAAAAGTAAAAGTATTAAAGTTTTATTGTGTATACCTATTTTATTTTATTTTTCTCCGATGATAGTCGTACAAGCGTACAGCGTGATTTAGTATGACCTGTAACCTGTTAAGTCAATCAACTTAGGTACCGCAGTAATTTTCATTTTCATAATGACGTCATCATTAAAATTGAATGTTGTCGTACGGTAAATAATTTATTAAAAGTATTATAAGCCACATAATTATTTTAAACTACAGAGTACTATTAAGAGATATATAACTCCTTTCTTGGTAAAAATCAAATTTTTTTATTCTTCTATAATGGTGATGTTATTTGAATAAAATTGAATAAATGATTCTTATATCGACAGTTTTACTGGTATATAATATGATTTAACATAAATGTTATTTTTGAAAAAAATTCTGAAGGTTTTATTTCTTTCCATAAATTAAAAAATTTTCTAGTTCTAAATTAAATAAAAATTAATTAAGGGGGGAATCCGGGGGATGACGATTTATGACCAACAAATACAAATTTATTTTTGGTTAAAGTACCATGTGGCATGAATAATAAATTTTTTCAAAGTTTTCCAAAGATATTGATCCTAACCACGCCGGTAAAATTTCAATGTTATTAATGTTATTTTAAATGATATAAATATTATTGTTTCAAAATTCTAACCATTCTATTTGAAAAAAAAAAATAAAAATAGAGAAAAGATTACAAAGAATAATTAAATTGGTTATATAATCAGAATTTAAATTAAAGCGCAGTAAGGAGTGTGGCTCTGTTAATAAATTTTTGGTGAAATGTTAAGTCTGGTAATTTTAAATGCCGGTAAAACGGCAATGGAGTAGGTAAATTTTCATATCGGCAAAAATGGTGTCGGTTAATTTCATGTCGGTGAAATGGCTGTACTGTAACCCATTACGTCATCTTAATATAATCAAAACTATGAAAACAAATTTTTTAATTCTGCCAAATAAGTGCAGTCACAAGGTTTAAAAATTCTCGAAGAATTAGAAAGATATTCGATAGTTAAGATTCAACATCTGTCTGGCGTGTAGTATGATAAGTTTTATTTCCCTATACAAAAAAGTACTAGATACGTTTTGTATACTGATTGATACGCTTAGAGATACAGAAAAATACACAATTCCGTATCTTGCATACTAAAAAATGTATCATGTGAGATACGGAATTGTACATTTTTCCGTATCTAGACGTATCTCAGTATACATAACGTGTCTTTCAGAATAAAAGACTTATTTATTTTATAGGGTTTCTCTCATATTTTTTTTTGCGGATATTTATTATCATTATAATTTGAATTCTAGTCTGAGAGATCACAGCTATTATTAGCAAATATATTTTTGAACGGTATCCGGTCTTTTCGCTAAGTTCATACTACTGAAACTCCAAAGTTAGTTATTTTGCCGAAGTGAAATTTTGCTGAAGTGATATCATTAAATTGAAGTTTTCAGATTTAATATTATCCAATCAAAATTTGTCCCGTTTTAATTTATTAGGAGATTTTAATGTCGTATATTCGACATTTTTTATAAAAATAATTGATATTTTTGATTAATTATTTCTGTAAGCAGTTAATATCAAATACACCTTTGACTAATTTATTATTATTTTTGAAGGAATTATTTGAATATATAAATTACTAACCTTAATTAAATGGGTTTTTGTAAAAATAATTGACCTTATTAAAAATTTTTTATAGCAATGAGATTTATTGGAGAATTTTTTTGTTTTCTTATTAAAACATTTTAGTTGTCATCCTTTCAAGAATTTCGGTAAATTTTTTCTCCTGAATAAATACATACATTATTTATCACATATTATTTTCCACTAGTAAATAGACATGAATATAAAGTTTCTTCAGTTTATTTCTGAAAAATATTTCAAGATTTCTTTAATAATACAATACATATTTTGGAAGTGACCTATTGTTTTCTTTTTTATTAAAGGTAAATTATTGAACAAAGAGAGTGACTTGTTCATATATATAAAATAAATTAAATCGCATAATATGAAATTAGTATGTATTTTTCTTTTTATTCTAATCCCTCCGCCATGATTATCTTTAAGAATAATATGACTTCTTTATAATTGTTTTGCTTTGTATTTATCTTCCTTTAAAAAATCACCTATATAAACAATAAATCAGAAAAAAATAAATGGATAATTATTTAAAAGAATATTATCAAACTACTAATTAACTAACATGTGTCACATTATGGAAATTCTCATTTAATTAGATATGGAACTTCAAGAATTAAATTCTGTAAAAAAAAAAGCAATTGAATGATTAAAAATAAATAAATTAGAAATGAAATGTTGCACTATTAAAATTCAGTAATAATCATTGCATTTATTATTAATAATAAATGTATAAATGTAGTTGTAATTAAGGTTAAAAACCTTAATTAATTAATTTATTTATTCTTTTTTTTTTGTTTGATGAGAAAGTTAGAAAAAGCTGAAATAATTTTATCATTTTGTATAAAATATCAAAAACCGACTAGCAACTTTTATTTTTAGCTTTAAGATTTATGTTTTACTTATTTATCATCTTTTTACAAGTGTATTTTTACATTTCAATGTTTGTTAATTTAAAAAGAAAGATATTATGACATACACAAAAATATAAAATAAATTTATTATATATAAAAATGATTATATAAAATAGATAAAATTATAACAATCTATTTATTTATATTTCTAAAGCAATATATTTATAACCTTGTAAAACAAATACTGTAATTCTGTAAATAAATGATTTAAGGTTTTAACAATTTAATAGTAATTAAAGGAAAATTATTATAAATTATTTATTTTTTTTAAGGTTCTTTAATTTAATCTGTGCATCTTGATCTCCTTGTTTAGCAGATTTTTCATACCAATAAATTGCTTTACCTATATCTTTTGTAATTCCATCTCCTTCTTCATACATTAAAGCAAGATTAAATTGTGCAGTATCATCTCCTAAAATTGCAGCATTTTGATATAATTCAAATGCTTTTTGCTTATTAATTTTAGTTCCAATACCATTATTATAACAATATCCTAACATCATTATTCCTCCTGAATATCCTCCTTCAGCTGATTGCTTAAACAATTTAAAAGCTATATTATAATCTTTTTCAATACCAATTTCATTTCTATAACAATTACCAAGATTATATACTTTACTGAAACCTGTAATTTTTCAGCTTTGAAGCTACCTAGCTGCTACTTTTCTTCTTTTCCTAAGCTGCGGCTAGGCAACTGTGATTCAATGATTCACTTAAATTTTCTAATATCTTTTCGTTAAGTAGCTTATAAACAGAAGTTAGTTTTATTTAAGTGGCCTATAAGAAGTTGTTTGAACAATCGTAATATTATTTAATTAATGAAATTAATTTATCAAATAAAAGTCATAATAAGGCCGCCTACAAGAAACTTTAGAATTTACTAATCGATAATGAATGCCGATCATTTTTATTATGATTGCATCATCCGGACCTACGGATCTCTGGAAATTTTGCTATTAATGCCGGGTCCGTCTGATCGACAAATCAGGGACGTGACTTATTTTTTGACTTGATAATGACGTAATGACTCTAATAATGAGCGAGCTAATTTAATTTATTCTAATTATTAAAAAAAATGTAGTTATGTCTCAATCACAATTATATCAACTTGCCATTTTTAGTCGACAAAGATTTTTTTTTTTGATTATTAAAAAAAAAAAAAAATTTTCTTTGACATCATTCTATCTGTTTTTTTCTAAAATTTCAATAATTTTTTTTTGTTAAAAAAATCCTTCTTTAGCTCCTCTGATTGATATAATAGTTTTTTTTTTGGTTAAAAAAAAAAATCCTTTTTCTTCTTTTAGTCCTCTAAATTTTAATCGTTCATTTTCAAGCAATTATGTCGCAGAAAGATAAATCTGACGTAAATAATATCACTGCGCCTCAACAACAACCACTACCATACAATCCATACATGTTACCGCTCAAGGTGCCGTGACTCCAATTATATCTAACCCACTAGTCCCACCTACTATGTCTCCAACATCTAATGCAGCTTCAAAATCTACTGAAACTGGTAATAGTATTTTATTTTATATAAACCCACTTATGAATATTAACTCAAATTTAATAAATGATGAAGAGTTACAACGGAAAGATATGAATAACGAAACAGCTTATGATCAATGTGATGATCCACAAGACGATAACCAAATTGTTGATACTGCTGAGTTACAGTGTAATTTTGTTTATTCATAATATTTAACGTTTATGGTAAGTATAAATTGTATAAATTATTAATCTATACTATTTTTTTAGCGGTAGATGAGCTTTTAGATCAACTCGATTTGCATGTTATTAGAAATTGTGAAGTGCGTAATAAAATTGCTCGACGATTCAATCTTGTAAATCTTGTATTAAAGGTAAAGTTAATTATCCATTAATGCAATTTGCTCATCAGGCTTGCAGATCATGCTTGCTAATGATTTCATATAGATTAATACTTTAAACACACTTGGTAAGCGAACGCATGTGAACATTGATAACGATATTGTGCAACCAAGAAAAAAAAGTGTTTCAACCAAAATAGTAAACAAATACAGATCACCTGTGTAAGTACACTATTAATTATAACAATTTTTTTTTTCTTTTTCTTGTGATTAATTGATTTTTATTTATTTTATTATACTATAGCAATGAATATGAAAGATCTTTATCATCAACTGGTTATCAACTTCCGTCTCTTTTTTTTGATAAAGATGGAGGATTCCCTTTTTCAACTCGTCCAATGTCTAACCCACCAGAAAATTTACAAAATCCCGAAGATAAAAGCTGGCTAGACCAATATATGATTGATAAAGTATTAAGAGATAATAAACTTGTAAGTTTTGATTTAAAAATAATAAATTACTAATTATATTATAGTAATAACTGAAAACAATTTTTGCCTTTTTCTTAGAATAATGAATGGTTATACAACAATCTTCGGGATGAATTACATTCATTATTTTTACGAACACGTAACTTAGATGTTTCAAACAAATTGTTAAAGGATTTTGTAATGACTATGTATACCAGTCTTAATGCCATGCAAATAAGAGACTCACTCGCAGATCGTTTACGAGGTTGTAATAATGATTGGCGATGCAAACTTTGGAAAAAAATTATAGCTTTATATAATAGTTTACGTCAAAAATATGACAAAGAGTAAGTATAATATTGCAGGAAATTTTTTTTTTTTTTAATTTTAATTAGAATTTAATTTTTGACTTTTTGTTTTCAGTGATCAACTTTCGGCAATGGACCTTTCAGATTTTTTGGTTAACGAAAATATTCAACAAGTTTTTAAGCAATGGACTGGAAATATCAGTCCAGATGCAATTAAAAATGCATCTGATGCATTAAAAAATGTAATATTGATAGGATTCAGATCACTAGAAAGTGCTGATTCACAGGAGAAGGCACATGACATATTTTTTAATCTTCATACTGATTTATATACGGTAAATCTTGATTTTCCTACTGATTATAATATTGGAACTTCAATTGATCTTTCACCGTACAATTTTGTATCTCAAAGCAGAAAAAGCAGCCCAAAAAAAATTAAAGATAACCATGAAAAATAATAGTTGTTAGCTAGAAAATAGCCTATATTATAAATAATTATAAATAATTGCGATAATGTATTAAAATATGCGATAAATCGATAATGTATTAAAATAATTGCTAATTTGCTTATATTGATATTGATAATCTTCATAAATTGATATTGATAATCTGCATAAATTGATAATAAATAATAATTGAAAATCAATTGAAAATCATTTTTAATCTGATAGTTTATCCCGTTAATCATAAACTTTTATTAAATTAAAAACTTTCGTTTTATTTTTCTGTAAAATGCCACCTAAGATAAATAAAAGGCAAACCAAACCTGTATCAATTGAAGTAAAACGAGGTAACTATAACGAAAATACAGTTAATAACAATGTAAATAATTTAAATAAAATACTATATTAATAATTTTTATTATTAAAGGACGCCCAAAAGGTAGCAAGAAAAAAACTGGAAATAATACTATATTAAATAAATCTAAATCCAGAGCAAATAAACGGCAAGTTGGTAATAATAAAATTACACCACCAAGAAACAAAACATCTTCAGTTGCTCGTAAAAATAAGAATCTTGATGAAGATGAAGACTACAGTCAAGAAAACGAAGAAAATATTAATGAAGAGGAATTATTGGAAAATTTGTCTGATATGAATTATGAAGAAGACCATAATAGTGAAGATAGTTTAGAAAGTAATATTTGTGAAAGCAATATTTGCTAATATGATTATCATATACATTAATTAATATTCATTTTTTAACGACTTTAAAGTTGTATCTCCAGAAAGAGGTTCGGAAGTGAGATCTAGACATGAAGCTATACCTCCATCACGAACTCCAGAAAGAAGCTCGGAAGTGAGATCTAGACATGAAGCTATACCTCCATCACGAACTCCAGAAAGAAGCTCGGAAGTGAGATCTAGACATGTACCTCCATCACGAACTCCAGAAAGAAGTTCGGTAGTGAGATCTAGACCTCTATCACAAACAGAAAGAAGTTCAACACCTTCATCAAGTGATGCGTCTTTACCAGCATCACTTTCAGAAATGTCAAACTTACTCGATATCTGCAATTGGCTAGTCAAGCGACCACAAATTTTAGAACTCGCCAACCAAATGGTAGCAGCTAATAATACATCATCAAGTGCTAATACAATTGCAAATTACGTTCCTGGAATCAGTAATAATTCGCCTGTACTCACAGAAACAGGAGAGGTAAGATTATTTTATACTAATGACTAATTATAATTATATAATAAAATATTAATAAATACTGTCTGTATGACAAATTTAACAAATTTAGAATAAATCACGTTTATGGGATGAAGAAAGCAAATGCTTATTTTTGCGGATTCGTAATCCTTCATCTTCTGTCTTAGATAGCTTCATATTAGCTGTATTTGGATATCAGCCTTGTAGTGAAAAGGCAAAGGCAGTTTTTCAAGAAACGCGTAAAAGATTAGGGGATTTTAGAAATAAATTTAATGCTACATTACGTGGACTTGCCAGTGAGTTAAAGGAATCAAGACGCATGTATGTTTTGTGATTTGTTAATATTAATAAACATGCAAATAAATAGTATACACTATTTTAAATTTTATTTCATTTTATTTTAAAAGAGAAAACATTAATACTATTACAATGCCTTCACAAAATATCATTGAGGAATTTATTAGTGAAGAAGTCGTGATTCGAAAGGTATTAGCAAGATATTTTGTAACTACAAATGAAACTGAGCTTAGACGTAATGGATCATTAGATAGATTAGTAAGATTTGTTCGGGAAGCATTTAAAATTCATTATAAAGATAGCAACAAGGAAAAAATTAAAGACCTTGATGTAATGACTAAGGATTTGGTTATTCCATCACGAAGTGGATATAATTTGGCGAGTTCTTTAACGGTACATTAATATGAAATACTTTTGTTATTTTTATTCTAATTATTAATCAATTTTTTTTTTAGATACTTTAAACCTCCTATATATTGATGATAAAGCTTTAATGCGAATATTTTTATGAAAATTTATTTTATATATTTAATTATTAATTTCAAAAAAGTACATATTTGTAATAGCAAAACATAAGCGTGTTTAATCTATTGTTTATATTTGTATTGTTTGTTATTGAAATATACTTTAGCTTAACAGTATACTTTGAAGTTTATTTTTAAGTTAAAAATAATATAGTACTAGCTTAATTTAATAAACTATACTTCGAAAGTTTATTTTTAAGTCAAAAATAATAGTATAAAAATAAAACTTAGTCATTTTTTTCAACTAAAGTTTTCTTTCGCATTCAATATCCAATATGCTACGTAAAACATTTCGCTACAAACATGCAAATAAACAGTTAACACTTCACAAACGTTATTCTTACATATCATCTTTACGAGATTATGATATTAAAAATGCTATTAAAGCGTATTCAAATAATCCAGTTATCGAAGAACCATTACTAAATTATTCTCAAATAACAAATGAAACTACTAATGAATTTAGTTTAATGCAAAATTATGATGAAATCAATCATATTGCCGAAGAAATACCAACTGATAATGAATACAATACACAATACGATAGTTCTGAAAAAGAAAGAGATATAACTGATAATGAATATGATACTGATTCAGAATCACAAAATGATAATTCTGAAAAAGAAAGACATATAACTGATAATGAATATGATACTGATTCAGAATCACAAAATAATAGTTCTGAAAAAGAAAGGCATATAATTGATAATGCTCTAGATCCTTCTAGATTGCCAAATAATACAAGCGATTTTTCACCATATTTTGACAACATTACCACAGCTTTGTTATTTTGTTGGATACAGAAACATAATATATGTAAGCATATTATTATATTATTATCCAATTTGATCAATATTAGGAAAGTTTTTTAACTATTGCTTGTAAGCCATACATTTATAAACTTTTTGTTTGATATTTTAGCTACACATGCGTATGATGACCTTGTAAGTATCATCCATCATCCAAAATTCAATAGCAATGATGTAGTGACAAACATCCGATATTTTCGTCAATGGAGACAACGGCTACCTCTTTTGCCAATAGCAGCAAATACAGTTTCGATTTCATCTAAAAAAACGCCATCGACTTCTTCTGAATCTAAAATGACATACTATTTATTGATTAATGATATTATTTGGCATGTATTAAACAATCCAGCTATAATGAATCACATGTATTTTGGTCCAGGAATCGAAGCAAATGTAAAGTCAGAATTTTGGCATGGGACTTTATGGGCCGAATCTCCACTTTTTGGTCAAGAAAAGATTGTTATTTCACAAGGTAATAATAATATCTATTTTTTAGGATCATATTTTTTTAAAAACTAAGTTCTTCACTTTATAGTAACATATTATTGCGGAGAATTTATTTATTATTTGTCCAATGGTGGACATAAGCTGCTTGGTTTTCTTAGATCGATACAAGTTAATGAAGAAAACCAATATGTATTGAAAATACAAAAACTTTTGTATTATGAAGATATACCTGGTATATTTAAAGGGCATCTTAGACAGCAACGATCCAAATCTGGTGAAGTATGGATGCTTGATGATAACTTTGTTTTCATTTGTCCTTCACAAGTTTATAATAAAGCAACAGTCAAATTGCCACATTTACATCAAGTTCTGTCTCACAGTGATCTTTATGTATTAGAAATAATTTATAAACATAATAATCATTGGCGGGTTAGAGATATTCAACTATCTTACCAACATCCTGCTCACTCCATTATAATTAATAACCCACCTGTAGATTCAATGCCAGTTTATAAATTATTCTTAGATCTTTACTATGATGATTTCGGTACATTCAGAAATGTGTATCACTCATTGGGAGGAGTTTATGTGCAATTTGGCAATATGCCAGCACATATGCGAAAACGACTCAAAAATCATTTCGTAATTGGATTTGTGCCATTCGGCGGTAATTTTGATGAGTTTATTCAGCCATTCATTAATGAGTTAAAGGAATTTGAGAAGGGAAAAATAATGAATATACAAGGGCGAGACGTCTGGGTAGTTGCAGGTTTAGGAGTAGTTACTGCAGACTTGCCTCAAGGGAATGATTTATCAGGTGTTTTAAGACATGGGGCAACAAAGGGGTGTCGTACTTGCACTGTAGAAAAATACTCATATACTGATAATTCTACAGATATTATCAGACTATCACGTTATAAACAATGTACTGATTTAGATTTTTCCTTAATTGCAGCTGAAAGTTCAATAACAAGAAAAAAACAAATTGGTTCAGAATTCGGATTAAGAATAAAGCAAAGCATTTTAGATGAATTGCAAAGAGAAAGGCACTTGCAAACCCCGCAAGATATATATCATGCCACAGCAGGAAAAATTAAGCGCCTTCTTAGATTGACATGTGAATTATTTTCACATGAGGGGGAAAATGCATTCATCAGAACCTGGAAAGCTTTAGAAAAACCAAAGAAATGGGCTCATTTACCAAATCCCATAAGTCATCATGAAAGTTTCATGATGTCAGATTATCTTCGCTTGGCGATGATAATGCCATTTATCCTTCACCGTTTTCTAAAGGTTATACATATTAAAAGTGATAATCTGGCTTTAATTCAGCAACGAATTAACGTTCAGCGAAATGATTTGGTACCAAAATATATTGTAAAATGTTGGGTTTGTGTTGCTCAAACCATGAAAATTGCTTTTGATAGACATTTTACTAATGAAAAATATATTGAATTGCAAAGATGTTTAGACGCCGAAATGAATATTTTAACACAAGTAGTTCATAATATTTATTATGGTTCTTCATTAATTTGCCTTATATTGATTTACATATTATATATATTTAGGTTTTTGAAGAATTCGTCAACCTCCCAAATCTTCATCTTAATTTTCATTTTCTTTTACATGCCCGTACTTATGCCACTTTATCTAATACTCAAGTGGGTATAAAAGAAATGATACATAGGATTTTCAAATCAATGGTGCTAAAAACTAACCGAAAAACAGTGGAGCTTGATTTGATTAAACGTTATAACACTATCTTTGCAATACGGCATCTTGTTGATGGAGGAACCGATAGAAGATTTTCACGATCTAGCAATGGCTTCACTTCATTGCGAAAAAGTGACAAAAGCTTATTTACTAATTGGTATGTTACAGAGATAATTCATTTTCTCAAGATGATTATGAAAATGAAACTGGAGGTAATAAAGTTGCAATTATTTTACTTTAATATAACTTCAATATAATTCAAAATTCGTAATTATAACCCTTTATAAAGTTCAATTATCAATAGGATGTTTTTACGATATTAAACTAAAACAAAGAATATCTTCAAAAAATACTGGAAATTTTGTAACATTTTCGTTACAAGATGCCAATTTTAAAGCTGAACTATATGAATCTTATAAAGATCTTAAACTTAATTCAGCACTCATAAATTCTTCTTTAACTTGGTATCAACGGGTTTCCTACATGACGGAAGATAATTATGGAAATACTGAAAAAGTCTGTTTACAACTTGGAGATATTTTAACAATACAAGAAGAGGAGTGCGAATCTTATGCCAAGCTTCAATCGATATTTCAACATAAAGGCAATGATGATAAGTTCTATGTCTTTATTGTTGTTGCTTGGTTTGAATATGTTAACCAAAATCATACAATTTTAGAATGTCCGATTTATAGGCTTAATGATCGGCAATGGAGAAGAGTATTCCCGATTACTGTTATTGATAAAGCTCATAAAGCACACTTTATACGCAGATCAGTTGACACAGATGATGGTTATTGGTACAAAAATCAATTTTATTTCACGGCTATTTGATTGTTTTATTTATTACCTTTGTACTATTACAATGAAGCTGCTATTAGGTAGCTTAGTAGTTTAAATCAATATCAATACAATATAATATTTAGGTTACCTAATTTTATTGAATTTTTACCTATAAACTGCTTAGTAGCAACTTAAGAACAACCTACACATAAATATTTAAATTACCATTAAGTATTCTATAAATCGCTTATTTTAAATTATTAAACTACCTTCAAGTAACGTATAGGCTACCAATTATTAAATATCTAAGCTACCTATAAATCTTTATAGTGTTTACATAAATGATGCTTATCAAAATTGTCTAGGTTACTTTAAAGGTAACCTAGTTGTGATGTTTTATGTCTGCTAATAGGTGGCAGTTAGGTAATCTTTGTGTGGCCTAACTAAATCAAATTTTGGGGTTTCAGTAAAGTATTGCCATCAGGCTACCATTATTTGCAGCTATTTCATACCAATAAAAAGCCTTTTTTAAATCCTTTTCAACACCTATTCCTTTTTCATAACAATAACCAATGCTTACTTGTCCAGGTGTAAAATTTTTATCAACTGCTTTTTCATAATATTCAATAGCTAACTTATCATTTTTCATAGTTCCTTTTCCATAAAAATAACACTCACCAATAAAATATTGTGCCAAAATATGATTTTTTTCTGATGCATTAATAAACAAATTAAATGCATTTTCATCATTTTTATTTATTTCAATTCCATAATAATCAAAATATCCAAGAATAAAAATAGAATTTGAACTATTTTTATTATCTAATAACCAATTATAAACTTCATGTGAATTTAAATCATAATTATTAAAATATTCAATAACTTGTTGTTTCACTGAATTTATTTCAAGTCCTTTATTTATTAATTTAAAAATAAAATCATGTATTTCATCAACTATAATGTTAAAATCTTCAATTGCAAAATTTTCTTGTTTATTTAATCTTGCTATAGGATCAATTTCTTTAATATTCATTTTATCAAAATAATGAATAAGTTGAGATAAATCTCCTTGTAATTCTGAATTATTAGTACTTAAAGAAGTATCATTAAATTCTTGTTCATTTGTATACTCGGTATCTTGCATTTTGATATTATTGAGTGTTATCAAACGTATTGAATAATGATAAGTTAACAGTAAAGTTAGAAAAAAATGAAAAGTAAAAATTATTAAAGTTTATTGTGTATACCTATTTTATATTGTTTTTCTCGATGATAGTCGTACAAGCGTACATCGTGATTTAGTATTACCTGTTACCAAACAAAAAAGTCAGTTGATGCTCACCTTGGTACCACAGTACACAGTAAATAATGACGTCATCAAGAATTTTTTTAGCACCCAAGTTTTGTGGGCGTGGATTTTTGTGTTACAGGGGTGACAAATAAATTTTTGTCACTAAAAAATTCTGTCCCTCAGATACTTAATGTTTTTGAAGCAAGGGAATATGTACTGATCTAAAGCAGTACCCATACTATATGTTTTACCACTACCAGTTTGACTAAAAAAGTAGGGGGAAGGGTTGAATAATAAAATAATAAAATGGTTAATAAATTGTTTCATTTATCATGATTTTTTTTCTATGAAAAAGTTGTATATATTCTAATAATCATAGATGACATAGAACCGAAAATAATTATGTGACTTATAATACTTTTAATTGAAAATAATAATACAAATTATAGTATTTTTCAATATACCTTCAGGACTAGGGAGTTTATCTTCGTTATCTTCAAATGGAAGTTGACATCTAAAGAGTTAAAAATAATAAAAAAATTGATTTCAAGTCTAACAAACTTAACTATTTCGTATGTAAGACTAAAGTTAAAAAAAAATCATAATTTTTGTTTTTTTGATAATCTCTTAACAGATTTATTTTTATGGAAAAAAATTTTCTTAAATCTTGCAAAAAAATAATAAATTTTGAAAAATTTTATTCATCAACGGAAGATAAATTTTAATTTGTTAACCATTAAAATTTAACCAATCAGTTTGCACAAAAAATAAACGTGACTTATATATATGTGGCTATGTATTTGTGGCTGGTAGCAAATAGGAAATAGGAAAAGTTTAAATCCGGCGACCGAAGGGAGCCCCTATACCAAATATTAATAAAGACTTTAAGATGCAATTAAAGGATCATTTATTAAAGCAAATGAATAATATAATTTGTATTATTATTAATGATACAATTATTAAAGTATAAGAAAACGTAACGTCTGTCTAATATTACTATTATAACTCAATAGTACAAGTTTTCGCATAATGTCCTATCCCATGGCATTTTTTTACAAGTTGCTTTTCGTTTAGATGATTTACTTTCTTGATCTTCATAAGTATCTCGCAATGTTGCACCTGTTATAATTAGTTTTATCTGATAAAACAGTACTACGCACATTTTTCTCAACAGCGCGCGCTCATGGAAATTATCATCTTACCGTTCAAACTCATCTTGTTCATGTTCAATAAATTCTGAAATGATAGCTACATGTTTAGTATTTACGTTACTTAATGTTATCATTAACATTTTGAAGAACTCATACCTGGATTATCAAAAGAAAAAAATCCCTTTCCGCCAAGTCCAACTTTCCAGAAGTGTCAAAGGAAAAAAAGTGTTGGTTATTCATTAGAGAAATGTCAAAGGAAGGAATGGTTTGGTTATTTATTAGAATTAAAGAATGAAAGAAGTGAAATAGAAGCGAAAAGAAAAGAAAATGATCTAGATGATAAACTATTAAAAACTATCAAATAAACTATTTGCTGAAGTGGCCATACTCAAAAATCAGGCCGCTAAAAAAAACTAAGTCTCTCAGATACTTAATGTTTTTGAACTCGTGGCTGCACGTGATCAGGTGACAGTTAAATGTCACTTGTTCCTTATATGGTGAAGATCGACACAAACCGCGCCCACAAAACCGGAGTGCAATAAATTTTAACGATGACGTTTTATATGTAAATTACTGCGGTACTGCTGCGGTACTGCGGTACCATGGCGACTGATTGACTTTTTTGTTTGGTAATACTAAAAATCACGCTGTACGTTGTGCGACTATTTGGAGAAAAAAAATTTATATAATAGGCATACACAATTAAACTTAAAAAAAAAAATGAAAAGTAAAACTTTCTGTTAGCTTATTATTATTCAATACGTTCGATAATATCAAAATGCAAGATACCGAAAATACAAATAATACAAATGAATGGGTCAATTGGATTGAAGAAGCTGTTGATAAAGAACATTTAAAATTTTATGAATATGAAGAATTTAATAATATTCAACATATTGGTACTGGAAGTTTCGGAAACGTATATCGTGCAAATTGGAAAAATTCAGGAAAACTAGTTGCATTAAAATCGTTTATTAGTCTTAATAACTTCACCATGAAAGAACTCGTTCGTGAGGTATTTTAATGCAGTATAATACATTTTTTTTTCGTCTATGAATTTTTATCTAATATATTTATTTCAAATATTTTATTTTTTTATTCAGTTAAAAATTCAACGCAAAGTTGATTTCCATGATAACATTATTAGTTGCTATGGAATAACAAAACTTGAGTTAGGTATTATTAACATCACATTGATAAATATAATATTCTTTTAATCGCAAAATTTTACAAAAGTTCATTTAGTAATTACTTCTTTTATTCATTAGAAAATCATAATATTTATCGGTTAGTATTGGAATACGCCGACGGTGGTACTCTTCGAAGTTATTTAAAGAAAAATTTTAACAAGCTTACTTGGGATGACAAATATAATATGGCATACCAGTTATCTTGTGCCGTATCATGCTTACATAATGAAAAAATAGTGCATCGTGATTTGGTAATGTATTTGTATTATTAATTTATAAAAAATATTTAAATAATTTATATGTTTCTTTAATAGCACTCCTGTAATATACTAGTCCGTAATAACACAATCAAATTAGCAGATTTTGGATTATCTAAAAGAATTGGAACATCATCTAATTTTCAATCTAAATTATTTGGTGTGATTCCTTATGTCGATCCAAAAAGCTTTAGTAGACGAAAAAATAATAATAATCAATCAACACAAATGTACTAATTAAATGAAAAAAGTGATATTTATAGTATAGGCGTATTATTTTGGGAAATATCTAGTGGGCAGCCTCCTTTTTATGTTGAGGATGAAGAATATGATATTGGTTTAGCTGTGGAAATTTTACAAGGTCTTAGAGAAACTGTTGTTCCTGATACTCCTGAAGAATATATTAAAATTTATACCGGTGAGTAATATTTTAATTTTTAAATTTTATATTCTAAATATTATTAATTCTAAATTATGTTTGGTTTTAGAATGTTGGGATGGTGAACCAGATAATCGTCCAACTATATATCAAGTCGTTGATTGGCTAAATGCAATAATTATAAAATCAGATGTAATAGTAGATAATCATCAAATGTCAAATGAACAAGAAAATGATTTTTTTATAAGTACTAATAATTTAGAATTACGAGATTTATCTCAACTTATTCAAAATTTTGATAAAATGAATACTAAAGAAATTGATTCTATGGCAATATCAAGTAAACAAGAAAATCTTTCAACTGAAAAAGATTTTAACATTATAGTTGATGAAATAAATGATTTTATTTATAAATTAGAAAATAAAGGAATCGATTGGAAATTAAAAAAGCAGCAAGTTATTGAATATCTTAATAATCATAATTTAAATTCACAAGAATTTTATAATTGGTTATTAAATAATCAAAATAGTTCAAATTCTATTTTTATTCTTGGATTTTTTAATTATTATGGAATTATAACAAGTGAAAACAATGATAAAGCATTTAATTTGTTTATTAATGCATCAGAAAAAAATCATACATTAGCACAAAATTTTGTTGGTTTGTGTTATAGACATGGATATGGAACTATAAAAAATGATAAATTTTCTTTTGAATATTATGAAAAAGCTGCAAATGATGGAAATATAGGTGCAGTGTATAATCTTGGTATTTCATATAAAAATGGAATTGGTGTTGAAAAAGATTATAATAAAGCTTTTGAATTGTTAAAGCAATCAGCTGAAGAAGGACATATAATGGGATTAATGATGTTAGGATATTGTTATGAAAAGGGTATTGGAACTAAAGTTGATAAACAAAAAGCAATTGAATTATATCAAGAATCAGCAAATTTAGGAAACGAGGTAGCACAAAATAATCTTGGTGTTATGTATAAAAATGGAGATGGAATTGCAAAAGATATAGATAAAGCGATTTATTGGTATGAAAAATCTGCCAAACAAGGATATGAGCCAGCAAAAAATCATTTAAAAAGACTTCAAAAAAAATAAGTTTTTTAATAAACTATTCTCATTCAAATTTTAAAATTTTAGATCATTAGTTTACAGTATTTATTTTTATAAAAATTTACAAAATAGTAAACACACCGCCCTAAAATAATGATAGTTAAAATTTTTACCTATTTTATTATATATACTTTATTTTATAATTAAACATACTCGTAAGAAGACATTTTCGATCTAACATACCTATTAATAATGGAAGCACATTGAGACTTATCGCGAACCTTCAATTTTTCAATGGATTTTCTTTTTATTAACTACAAAAAAGAAATTTATTAATCAGAATTTTTTTATTTATAATAATAATTTAAATACTTTATTTATTATTCCATCTATTATACAATGTATAGTCTTCTTTTTTTTCAATAGGATCCATTTGATAGTTTTTTTTTGATAACTGAAGGTCCCATATGAAAAAATGAACACTACATTTCTTTAAAACCCCTATAAGTATTATTTTTACTAAGACCTTTTTAACTAAAATTTTTAATGATCGTATCTTTTTTTCAAAATTAGAATTTAAAAAATCATCATAACTCTAAATTAATGCAACTGTAACTAATTATAGTGAGATATTGAGAATTTTCTTTTACAAAAAGAAGAATAAAGACATGAATATTTGAATTTATAAAAACACTTTTTAGAGAAAATAAATTAAAATAGGAAACGATTTCCAATTTTATTTGAATTTCTTTGGGTCAACTTTTTTATTATGGGCCGGTGCAAAAAGATTCGTACCTCAACAAAATGCCAATAAAAAAATTTTTTATTATATAAATGTTTATTTATTTATTTAATTTGAATTGATATATGTTTGGGAAATATAAAAATATAAGTGTAAGATTAAATTGTGTATTATCAATTAAAATTACTATAACCACTAAATTTTTATTGATTAATTGTGCATTTTTTATATTATATTCAAAGTATTCTTTAACATATTTAAATGCCATTATCTAAAATTTAATTAAAACTTATGAAATTTTTTTTTTTAAACGAATTTAATAATGTATCATGAATGGATAAAGATTTTGAATGAGAACTTAAACTTACAATTTTCGCAATTATTTTAAAAAAATGGAATGCGATAAATTAATGACAAGAATTAATATGATTATAAAGAAAAGAGCAGGGCTAGCTAGAACAACTCCCAATTTTATAATTTACGAAAAAGATATCTTAGGAGTCAAATATATTTATGACCTACAGATGGAAATGTTGTGCAAGAATTTGTTATATCAAGCAAACGGAAATAACAAATTAAAAATTTTATTTAAAATTAAAATGATCCAAGAACAGAAAAATTTTTGGACTTCGAGATGTCCTGGTGAATTAGAAATAACGAATTATAGGAAAAATAATTGGATCATATCGGCATTAAAGGCGCTAAATAACGAAAAAATAAAAATTTGCAATCATGAAACTAAAGATTTTAAAGAAAATCACAGAATACAAGGAGGAAAGATAGATTTAATAGAATTACTTGAAGAGAAAGACTTCGTGACAAGTGCACAATCAAGAAAATCGAAAAATATAATGTTTCTAGAAGACATCCTGGAAGCGGATGGTATTACGTTATTAAAATGGAAGCATTTATGTAAGGAACAAGTACTGAACACGAAAGGTAAAACCCCAAAATGGTTCAAAAATCTAGAACACAAATTAATAGCAGATGAGAGCGGACAAGTAAGAAGAATAAAAAATGAATTTATAGGACAATCACAAAAAGAAAACATTCACGTAAATTTATTTGATGAAAACGAAAAACAAGATAAAAGTAGCATTATAACTTGGAACGACGAAGGTGAATACCCGATATTTAGTATAGATAAAAAAAGATCGCAGAGCAAAAAATATAAAAGAATAGGTATACATTTAATATTAGTCGGAGACCATTACGACCTAAACAATTCACCTCGATTAGAAGAATGCCAAGAATGCTACAGAAATATTAGTAAAAAAAAGGGGAACAACGAATGTTTAATATATATAGAAAATGAAATCAGCAGAAAAATGGACAGAAGAAAAGAAGAAGACGATATCAAACCTTATGAAACTTTAAATAACACTAGGGAAACGGGAACCGTTGTAAGTCCGGAGCAATAAGTCGTTTCGTCACCCAAAAGCTGCCTAAAATCTGCAACTAAAGAAACAAACAAAATATTAGCAGACGTTACATTTTGTTAAAAATAAAAAAAAAGACAAAGAAAAAATATTTAAACACATACCGTAATGCATCTATGGAGAACCGGATTTCCAACCTTACCGAAATTCATGTCCATAGATATTTGAAGAAACTGTCTAAAAAAAAGTAATAAAACAAAATGTTACTAGTAAAAGTTTAATTATTTTGTTAAAACAAATAACAAAGTAAAAAAAATATCTTACCTAAATCTAACGCGTCCAGATGACTCTAAAAAAAGTGAAGATGAAATATTAGCAAACATTTCGCTAAAAGAATTGATTTAAGTAAAAAGAATACTTCACTTACCAAAATATATGTCCAAGAGACTCAAAGAATCACCTACAAAAGAAAAAAAGAAAAGAACTATTAGTAACATTTCATTAAAAGAAAAATAAAAAAAAAAGTCTGAAAGGGCCAAGTTTACACCAAAATTTATTCATAAAAAACCATTTTTCCTTGGCGCTGCTGGTAACTTTCAGTATTTTGTTTTAAACATCAACCATCTAAAAAAAGAGAAAAATTGAATGTTAACAATGCTTTGTTAGAATAAATAAATTCGAAAAAATACATTTGCAGATGTTCTCACCAAGTTTCTATGTATCCAAAGGGCTAAGAAACAATGCCTAAAAAAGAAAAAAATGTTAAAAACCGGTCATCAAGATAAAAAAATTAAAGAAAAAAAAAATGAAAACCTGAAATATCACGCTCAAGGAAACTAAACACCAGAAAAAGTGAGAGAAGTAAGGGGAAGGGTAAGACGAAGGAAATAGGAAAGTACTTTTTTTTTCATGTGACTTATTTGTTTGATTATTGATCTTATCAGATGTGATACGCGGAGTAACGCGACGCGACAAAATTTTTTCAAATACAGGGTCTTTTTTTTTTTATATAATGAACATGATACATTTTGCTTTATCAAGTAATCAAGGACATTGCATACAATGTTACTAAAAATAAAAAGTATAAAGGGAAATAAGCAGGGGCATTATGTTTCAAAAAGGAAATTGTGGTAATGACGTAGGTGGAAGGAAGGAAAAATTACATGGGTTAAACCGGTACTACAAATTTATCTAGTTCCGTACAATAAATAGTCCTTCGCTACGCTCCGGACAATAATAAGAAAAAATGAATGGTTAAGATCTTATACAAAAGAAGATAAAAAAGATGAATTATTTAATAAAAAAATAGAATTAATAGATAAGATAATAAAAACGAATGAAGGAAATTTTACGGAGCTAATTAAAAATAGTATTTTTGAAGAAAACGAATCAAATTTGGGAACAAAACGAAGATTTTGCCTCTTAATCAACATAAACAAAAAGAAATGGGATATAAATGATAAAGGTAAACGAATTTATCGTTATAACGTAATTTGGAAAATCTTCGAATTAGAAACTAAAAGAAATTCAAATGAAGAATTGATATTTTTAGCGAATCATGAATGTAATAATGAAAACGAATTTAAACTTATTTTATGAAGTATAATCGTGGGAATTTTAATAATTAGTGAGAATAGCGAGTTAATTTTGGGAATTAATGAGAAAGTTAATAGATTAATATTCGAATTTATTAACAATTTTAGTAATAGGAAAAAGATAGATAGTGATTTCTATCTTGAACTTTTATTTTTAGAGAATTTTTTAGAAACGAATAATATTGAACTAATCGAAAAAAATGAAAAAACATATAGAATTATAAAAGAAAAAAGAAAAGAGATGCAAGAAATGCTAAAAAACAAGAACGTAGTTAATACGATAAAATATAATTTTGAGTTAATAGAGGAAGGATTGATAAATAACGAATACAATTTAATTTGGAATAATAGATTAATTACAGGAGGATTTCGATCATGGAGAAAAGCAGTAACGAATGCAACGTGGAAAAATGAAATTTTAAATAGTGAAAAATTAGAAGATTTATTCATGTACAATTATAGAAAAGAATTTGATTGGATTACAAGCTTAGAATTCATCAGTAATAGAATTGAATTTTCACAAAGACAATGTGGTGCTAAAGATACGATCGACTGCTCATACAGAATTAAAAATTTGCTCAAAGAACAACCACGTATAAAACTTTATATAGAAGAAATACTAATAAAATAGATACAGATAAATGTATAAGATGTGGGAAAATAGAACTAGAAGATTGGGAACATATATGGATATGTGAAGATAATGAATTTTCAATCGATGAAATTATACGAGAATCACCATATAAATTTGAGAAAATCCTAACCGACTCCAATTAAAGTGAAGAATTAGATATATTAAGAAACTATAATTGTGAATTTATTAATATAATTGAAAGCCCATCAAATATTCTATTAGGAAAAAACAGAAAATGGGAATTGATCAGAGGAATATATAATAATAAATTCAATGATTTATCAAAAGAGAAGAAAGTCAAAGATCTGATAAAAAGACTCTGGATTTTTACATACGAAGAAATAAAGAATTGTATATGGATTCTGCGATGCAACAAAATAAAAAGGTTGGAAGAAAAAGCCCAAATAAAAAAAGTAGATTTAAGAAGGAAAAGAGATGAAAAAGAAGATATAATAGAAGAAGAACACGATAAACAATCGGAAAAAATAAAAAAACAAAAAACAAATAAAAAATTGGATAAAAAAGAAAAAACAAAGAAAAGTAAACAAATTAGTCTAGTAACGTTAGATAAAATGAAAAGATCAATTACAGATGGTAATAATATAGCTAGATCTTGGGATACACCTATTAAGATAGCGAATAGTTAAATTTAGACTTAGTATAGATAGATTTAGTTATAGTTCGATAAATACTTAGTTATAGGGTTTGAAATTTTTTCAAGCTCTAGGTGTTTAATTTTAATTATGTAATTTTTATGATTAAATAATTAATAAAATGCATTACTATTTAAAAAAAAAAAAAAAAAAAAAAAAAA